TGTGGAACCAGGGATTGAACTCAGACCCTTGCGCTTGCCAGGGAAGCACTTATTCCACTGAGCCATCTCCCCGGCCCCGGGGATTAATTTTAAAGACTTCAATGAGAATTTGTATGAGATAATGAATTTGGGGGCTTTCGAAGATCACAAGTATGTATGGATACAATGAAAATGTTAAGGATTTTTATGGAGCCCTGAAACAGACTCAGGTTAAGCATATTAATACAAAATTTCCAGGTTTAGGGGCTGGCGAGGTAGCTCAGCGGACTAAGCATCCACTCAGGCAAGTGCAGGGACAGTGTTCGATCCCTGGCACCACATGCCGCACCACGTGCTGAGCTGGCCACAGAGTCCGGGTGTGGTGGGGAGCAGATGGAATCCCAGCGCTGGGGAGGCTGCGAACAGGAGGATCACTCCGAGTCTGAGCTGTGTAACAATCAAATACATTAAAAAAAATAATAAATTCCAGGTTTGGTTTTCTCAAAACGTAGGGTAGGGTAAGAATCCAACTGATTTTGCAATATGGGAGGTGATGTCCCACTGAGATTTAAGAGATAGGAGATTGAATATGTCCTGACGTTTATCACCACCATTAATTATTGTATTGAGGAGTCAGATGTTTTTGAGATTGTGATTTAAGACTCCAGTGCATTAATTTTCAGTTATTTTTTTCTCCTTTTCTACATTTTTCTTTTTCTTTTTGAAAATTTTTAAATTTTTCCTTGATTCTCTATTTTTTCCTATTTTCGTCTTACTCTCCCCTTTCCCATTTCTTTCCCCTTTCTCCTCTCCTCCTGTCTCTTTTTTCTTCGAAGCAAAATTTGTGAAGTACTTTCAAGGAAATTCATACAACCAAAAATGACTTTGGAGTTGAGATACTCAATTATTTAGTTCTAATTCAAAATAAAACATGCAATAGAACCATCAATCACGCTGCCATGAATTCCTGACTTGCTAATTTATTTCAAGTGGACGAGCGAGGAAAATGTACCTTTGCAACTCATTGGAAGTTTCATGTGTTCAGCTATGACTCGATGTCAAGCAGTTATCGGGCCTGTGGGTTTATTTCCATTTTCCTCTTAATACATAGAACACTCTTCTGCCTGTTGGAGTGAACATGTGGGAGGCCATAACCCTTGTGTTCTTTACCGCCCCAGATGTAGACGAGTGCTCGGAGAACACGTGCGCCCAGCTTTGCGTGAATTACCCCGGGGGCTATTCTTGTCACTGTGATGGGAGAAAAGGACACAAACTCGCGCAGGACCAGAAGAGCTGCGAGGTGAGCAGCTGGCGGCGCTGAGTACCTCTCTTCTGCGGTGGTAGCGCTACGCACTTATGTCTCCATAACTGATATAAATTTAAAAATACAGATTTTTATACTGATTGCTGTAGCACTAAGCAGACCATATGTGTTTACTTAGAATGATCATGTAAATGATAAACACTGAGACTTGTTTGTTGCTGTTTTATTTTATTTATTTAGCATTACCAGGGGTTGAACTCAGGACCTTGCACTTGCCAGGCAGGTGCTTCTTCTACTGAGCTATCTCCCCGGCCCTGTGGCTGTATTTTAAAGAAAGACTTACAAGATAACAATGTAGAAGGTATTCCTTGGTAGTATGTGTATTTAGAGAATGCAATGTGTGTGCCTAGTTAAGAAGCCAAGAAAAGCTGAGGTGAATTTTGTTTGTGGAAAAAAAAATCGTACACGCGCAGCTCAGCGAAAGCGTTGTCCCGCGTTGCTGTTCTGGGCTCTGCTCTGTCCGGTCGCCCCCAGGGTGTGTTGGCACTTGTGAGGGTACGTGCCAACTCTGAAGTGTGCGCAGCTTTGGGAGGCTAGGATTAAGTGGGTGCTGCACAGCTCGAAACGCAGAGCCCAATTTTGTTAATCTGTGTCTCTCAAACTTGTTTTTAGTATTCAGATTTAATGCACAATTTAATCGGTGATTCACATGAACTTTTCCGGTAGATTGGGGCTTTTCCCTTACTGAAATAAGCAGGTCAGCGTCTGAAATCTTTTTTTATATTTTTAAATAACAATCTAAAGTTAATCATTTTTTTTAGACACGTAGAGGTGAAATTATTTGGTTATGTGTCAGGGTATTCTTTAAAATTTCTATATGATGGTGTAGCACAGTGCAAATGTACCTCGTTGTGTTACCAAGATAAACCGTCCGTGTCTAAGAAGATTATGGCACTCAATATCGCGGTCCCTAGATGGTGAAGAGACTTTTTTCTATTTTTGGTCTTTTTGAGACAGGGTCTCGCTGTGCAGTTCAGGCTGCCTTCTGCCCACTTTGTAGCCCAGGCTGCTCTCAAACTCACAACGATCCTCCGGCCTCAGCCTGCCGAGTGCTGGGATTACAGGCGTGTGTCACCACACCTGGTACAGGAGGCTCTGTTTAATATTCAGCTGTGTACACAAAATCTCTCCAAATACCCTTGTATGTGCCTGAGAACATATTCATAGTATTTGTTGTGAGTCTTAGAAAGCACATATTTGATAAGAGGTATAATGACTTTAAGTCACTGTCTTTTAAGCTCCTCGGAGACTAAGATGATATCCAAACTCCTGTTTATTCTTTTCAGATTTTTCAGTATTCTCTTCCAGTCTAGACAGCACATTCATGCTCAGAAAATTTTTTGTTTTCAGTATCACGAGGTACTATTTATTGGTAATGAATTCTGA